ATGAATACATAATTTACTTGACTTTTTGGTGACAAAAACGCAGCTCCGCACTTTCGTATTTCGCACAACCCATCATGTCGACGCCGCCTAAGGTCGAGCTGGCCGACCTCTCCCCGCTTCTCCTCAAGAAGGAGCGCGTCACGGCCTCCTTTGACGTTCCCTTGTTGATTGACGTGATCCACGGCAGTCGCGACCAGCAAGCGCGACGCAAGCACCTGCTCGACCTCGTGATCAACGACCCCGTGCTGTGCGACCGCGACATGATCTCTCGCAACCACAAGGAGCGCTACGAAAAGGCGCTGGAGAAGTCGCACGCGTATGCGAAGCTTCTGGAGACCCACCACATCACAGACCCCGACGAGCAAACGTACGTGTACTACGCGATCGGGGAGCCGCTCCCCATCGACGTCCATCGGTCCATGTTCATCCCGACACTACAAAATCAAATGGACGACGAACAGCAAGCCATTTGGGTCCCCAAAGCCACGTCGTTTCAAATCACCGGCGCCTATGCGCAAACCGAGCTCGGTACGCATCAACTGTTTCTGGTTCTGGTCCTATTTCGAGCATTTGGGTGTGTTCATTTGCTACTTCTTTGGCTAAACTCTCAACCTAAACTAGGCCACGGGTCGAACGTCCAAGGCATTGAAACCACGGCACATTACGACAAGAACACCCAAGAGTTTGTGTTGAACTCGCCGTCGCTCACGAGTCGCAAGTGGTGGCCTGGTGGACTCGGCAAGACCGCCAACCACTGCGTATTGCATGCGCGACTGTTGCTTGATGGGAAAGACCGAGGCGTCCAGGCGTTCTTGGTGCCGCTGAGAGATACGCGCACCCACGAGACCCTACCTGGCATCACCTTGGGCGACATTGGGCCTAAAATTGGGTTTCAATCTGTCGACAACGGGTATGTGTGTATATATGGACCTATATCTAGTCTGATTCTAGGATGATACATTGGATATTTATATATATATGTACATATATATACTAGACGGGAATATCAATTCACTGTTATGTTTATAGATTTTGCGTATTGGACCATGTTCGCATTCCTCGCCGAAATATGCTCATGCGATTTGCTAAAGTCGCCCCCGACGGGTCGTTCTCCAAGCCCCCAATGGACAAATTGGTATATTTTACCATGGTCAAGATCCGTGTCCTTGTTGCGGTGGTCTGTGCTCGGTACGTTGGATAATATAATGTCATTTGATGCTCAAATCTATATATATATATATATATATATACATGTATATGTGAGATTTCTTAATCGCTCGATGTGGTTGAGTCTTGGTTGATCGGCGGTTCGTTTGTATCACAAAGGATACGGCGGTGTAGGACAAGGTGTAATTGGTTGAATATTGGATATATATATATATGAATACTGTGTATG